GAGGCTTTGTCAAGGGGCAGTTACTACGTCTTCCTCTCTCCAGATACATCTTGACCTGCACACAATACAGAAATTGTATTTAATACACGGACGGTGAAGAGAAGCATTTTGCACTAGCTCTGCTTTCTGTTTCTGTTGAGCTTTTGTACACCACCTTGCATCCCATTTGTTTTGCTTTGTTTGTCACCTTAATACAAAACAAAAGTAACATCTGTTCCTCACTACAGCATCTGAAGATGAAACAGAAAAGCAGAAAGAGAGAAAACAAGCTAAGAGTGTAAAGTATCAGAAATTTCCAGTCTATCTACCAGTACTGGTGTGGTTTGTATTCCACAGAGGGCTGTTTATTTTTTTGCAAGTTGTCAAAGTTGATTAAATTATATCAGATTAGAATTTTCTCCCACTGGATTTTAATCAATGAAATGATGGCATAAATGCTCTTTTCTGTGCTTTGACATCATTGTGACAGCCTGAAGAATAATCAATAGAAATGATAAGGATGTGGTTACCACTGACTAGTTTATTAGCATTATCAGTTTCGCAGTAACTGACCTTTTCCTTCTCCGTCTCACTTCTCTTTATCTGTCATGTTTCATTTTGTCAGATTGATTTCCTTTTACTATAACAGTTAGTATGTGGCAATCTTCAAATGCTAATCAGACCTTACAGTTTCTCACACAGTGTTGAGAAACTGCTAACTGTATTTAAAGAAAAATGGGAAAGTTATTTCTAATTGGGTCTTCCTCAGAGTGTTATAAAATAGAAAATGTTACTTGCTACTAGTACCTATTTTATTTCTAAATACTGAATTTGTTTTAAAATTACACAATATTTATTACCAGTAAAGAAGTTGCTACTATTGTTTAAGAAAATCTGTTCATTATGGAATTAAACTCACAGAAATTTGTATGCGGGTTTTTTAGGTTATATTAACTGTACTTGTATATGTGTGTCTAAAACATGGCCTGATTGTTGTAGGATGCAATTTCGTAACAGTAGTAGAAAACAGTGCTTGGATATGTACCCATGCATCCACATCGCAGCTTCCGCTCTCTTGTGCCATGCAACACAACCTGGATGGGAAAACTACAGCATCGCCCTTCCTCCCACGGTAAATCTGCACCTGAGACCCTTTACCTATCATTTTTATGGAAGCATAGTCATGTAAATAGTCCCTATTGAATTTTTTTATGGCTATATAGGTGGGAGGCTTACGTATTTAAAATGAAATAGAATTTATTCCATAAGACATGGCACTTGGGTGATGAACTGTTGTTCACCTGTTGTGTATGATGTGCACCTGTGGCTTGTTTCTTCAATCAGTTTTTCCCTTCAGTGAGATTATTCCAAATAAGCTACAATATACCTCTGCTAAGTTTGAATGATACATGTTTTTAAATCTTTTTGATTTTTTAAAATCTTTTAATTTTTTAATGGTATACATTTTTTTTATTTGCATCAACTTTATCACCTATAAAATTCTACGTGTGATGTTATGCTTTGCAGTACAATGAATACCTACTGTTGTTATTCTTTCTTCTGATCTGCCGTAATGGGAAAACAAGTTATCTTAAGCATCATTGCAAAATAAGTCCAAAGGGAGTAGGACATGGCCTTTGTCATAAAATCTGCATGTTAATAGGTCAAAAGTCTTCTCTACCCTTTCACTGCCCCAGTATGGCTGGCATTTTCAATAGAACACATGTGGAGGAAAGTAAGACACAATTACTAAGAAATTAACAGCTGAAAATGGGATATTGATTTGAACTGCAGTCAAACATGATTTGGTTTTCTATCTTTCATCTAATTTGGAATCATCTTAAGGTTAACATAATCTTAATGTAGTAGTTTTGCTTTATGATCATTGTTTCACCTCATGATAGCTGTTTGCCAGTGTAAAGTGAGTGTATCAGGCTATCCTGGTTGTCCAAAACTGTTGGAGTTCAAGATGGCCAGTGCAGGTTGGCATATTAAGTGGGTAAGCACAAGGATCTGTCGGAGTCTGCTGGAGGGCGGTTCCCTGCTGTGCTGAACGCCCACACGTGGAACGTGGTGGCAGCAGTGACCCATGGCATTCAGCAACGCAGTGGCTACTGTGCTCTCCGAAAAAAGCTCAGGCATATTCCAGGCTGTTTTTTTCTGCAATTATTCCGGCAACTTGAAGTTGTGTGATGAAACAGTATGTTCTGGGACAACACTGACCGTAATTCTTGCTCAGTTTTCACTTTCGTTTTCCTTAAGGAAAGCTTGAAGTCCAGTGAAGTCAGTGTGGAATTGCCCTGGAACACTTCGACAAATTCTCTTCATTATGCAGATTCCCATTGCAGTCCTACGGCTACAGCACTATAGTCTTTTGTTTTGGTAAGATGAAACTATGCCAAGTGACATAACTGATCTTGGAACTGGAAAGCAAGAATGAAGATTTTTTTCAGAATAAAGGAGGACAGAACAAAGGGCATTTCTGGCATTTGGGAGAGGTATTCCTGGGTTTGACACATCATTGCATAGATTCAGAGAGATGATGTTGTTAGATTTTCTCCATATAACTTATGAATAAATACAAATTGATTTAAAAACAAACCTCTGCAGCAGTAGTTTACTGGCATCCCTAAAAACGTCTCAGTGCTTTCTTGGTGCTAGGTTATTAAGTTTATGGACAAATCGGTCTTGTATAGTAAACTGTTCATTGTAACAACATGCAACTTCAGTAACAGCAAGAATTAAATTATTAATTTAGCTAAATGTCACTAGACCTACTTTTTACGGCCTTCTGTGTATCAAGATTCTTCTGAAACTTTTTCTTCTTGACTATGCCACATTTGCCCATGCACACACAAAACGCTCATCTCCCAAGATTCATCAGTCTGAAGCTTCCCTCCAACACATCTGCTTTTTCAATAAATGAATTTAAATACAGTACTGAGTTTCATCTAGGAAGGATTTTACATCCACATTGAAGAATTTTGCTCAAAGGAAAGTAATTAAAAGCATTTTTCTATGGGGTTTCCCCCCACGGCCCCCCCCCGCTTTTTGGAGGGGGTATCATGTAGAAAGTTGAGGGTTGTTTTTGAAAAAAAAAAAATCCTGGTTAGAAAAGAATATGAAATATTGTTTGATTATGTTATCTCGTGCTGTTTATAATATACAAAGCAAGTTGTTTTCATTTATACTAAGTTATTTATATAAATTACTTGTAGATATATAGAAAAGTATCCTTGGGCTTCTGCAATTTGATATGACAGGCTCATACAGAAAGGTGTTTGTTTGACCTTAGTGTCTGTGACTTTTTATTTCAGTACCAGGTTTTTAAAGAGCTATCGAAGTGTAACTTGTGTGAGGGTTCTTTTTGTTGTGGTTTTTTTTTTCTGTTTTTAAATAAATCATGTTAGGATCCTTTAGTTTACTCTTGTAGATTTACACCTTTCGTTTTGTTCCATGCTTACTTCTTTCTACACTCTGTGCGTATTAAACTGTCTGGTTTTCTTCTTCTCCATGTAGTTCTCTTTTAGCAAGACCTATATTCCATCAGCATATCCTTGTCCCACTTCCTCCCCATGTACTTCTTCAAATTGAAGCTCATTTAGGGTAATACTGTGCATTTTGGAAGCGTAGGCTCCTTATCTGTGCTGAGAGGCAAACAAAGGATCCCTTAATGTTTTTCACATGTGTGCAAACTACACATAATCAAATTGAAGGGGAAAATAGAGGTCATTAAATTGATATTACATGTCATTATTTTATCTTGTCACGTCAACCCTCAGCAATTTACCAGGCTTAGGATGTTGGGGACCACAATGGGGCTAATTAAAGAGAGCTGTGCTTGTTTACTTTAGAATTTCCAAGTGTCTCATAGGTGACAAAATAAAATCTAATTATTTTGATATTTTATTAAGTGGTTTGTCAGCCATTACATAATTACTTCTTCTGAAAAAAAAGTGATCTGAAAATTATGGGTGTCAGGAAGGTAGAGCCTGTTGATATTTTTTGTGAGAACAACAATTGCCATGTAAGTCTTGAGGAAAGAGAAACAGATGAAACAGTACTGTGAGACTACAGTGAATGTTGTTTTTCCTACTGTGTACAATTATATGTAATTAGATCTGTCCTTTTTTTATTATGCTGTCTAAAAAATTAATTCTGCCTATCTGGGTACTGAATGAGCTTGTAAATAAGATAGCAAGATCAACATAGTCTGAAGAAATAATTAGTAACAATTTAACAGTAATTGTTCTGTTCAGGCTGAATCAATAGTAATGGAGATGAATAAATGGGTGGAAACCTTAAGTAATTACAAATCCTTTAAATTATTCTTGAATTAGAAAGCAGGAGAAAAGAAAAGATTTAATTACTTTTATAGATGCATGAGAGGAGAACTTTCTGAATTTTTTTCTTTGTCCTTTCTTTTCTAGAATACACTTTTTTAGGCAGCTGGTATTCTGTTTTCAGTACCTTATTAGACTTTTTGTGCAGCTTGGTTAGCTAGGCTAGACATACCAACTTCGATACTCTGTTTTATTTTCCAAAAAAATGAGTTACAAACGTCAGTGGGAAGAAGCAGACTTCTTACTGTGTTAACTAACTTCCCTACTCTGGTTTCAGACTGCGTGTTTTTGGCACAATCCTTATGTTTGCATCACTCAAGGTGGAAAGACCATTGTTCTTTTTGGTGTTCTGTACAGTAGAGAGGAATTTTCAAGAAATACTGACTTTATTTAAAGAAAAAGTACCAGTATGTTTAGATGGGGGATGTTGTTCTTTTTTTTAAAAAAAAAAAATAATAGTCTGATTTTTTGTTCTTACACACCCTAGAAAGTTCTGCTTTGATGTGTAAATATACTGTCTAGATTGTACTTTTTGCATTATTGTTTTTCATTTTAGTTACAGAAGTATTTTCTCACGGACTTTTGACACGTATTCCAGTATCTTTGAATGATCTGTTATCTTCACAGCATTTTCTCTATATTTGGAAACTATGGTGTTTCAAAAGAGTTATTAGCTTGATGATGCACCATGAAGACAAGAAATCCTCAAAGGATAAGGAGGTGTTAGGATAGACTCTAAATGTACTATCAGCTAAACTCAAATCAAGCAGAATAAACTGGAAAGCAGCTAGATGTTACTCTTTGGATCACCATGGAAATGCAAAGGTCAGAGAACCTTAGCCTAGGGCGTGCTGCTGAGACTTGGGGAGCTCTCAGACCCTAACGCTGGTACTTTGGCTTTCTTGATCTTGGGAAGCAACATTAGAAAGATTCTGCATTAAACCATTTGCTGATTGACTTAAATGTTTTCTTGGTATAAACTATGCTGAGCTATTACTGAAGAAAACTATTCTCAGTCAAAAGCCATGAATGACTGAAGTAAAAGAACAACAACAAAAAACTTTCTCTGTTAGTGTTTTGGATTTATAGACCAATGATTGACTCAGTCTTTAAAATAAATGTATGACAATTTTCTTTAACCTCTCTCCCTTCTTTAGCTGGAAAGGCAACTACTGATGCAGAACCAGATGAGAGAGAGACAAACAGCCATGCAGATTGCTTGGACACGGGAATTTCTCAAATATTTTGGGACATTCTTTGGACTTGCTGCTGTAGGTTTAACAGCTGGGTATGAAATTTATTTCCTAACAAAAAATATATTACATTTATATTTCTGTGATGCTGGATTTTGCATTATAACAGGTAGTTATTTTTATCCAGTAACTACTCAGAGGTTGATCACATGACAAAGTAACTCTGATTTCTGTCTGCTTCCAGATGTGTTTTGGTTATGTCTGTACTGCGGACTTACATAAAAGCAGAGACATGTGAGCTGATAATAAAATGATACAGCTGAGGTACCGAAAGTTCAGTGTAAAATAAAAGTTTTGTGTGGAACAGGAGGGATTGTTTAAAAGCCGTGCTGTTTTCTTGTCTGTATTGTGATTTAATGAACTATTAATAAGCAACAAATCCTCCACCATCTGGGTTTTTTAATATGTCAGTGAACAAGTGGACATATTCTGAAATCTGTTCAATTAAATTTTGAATCAAGAAACTCACCCAAGGGGAAAAAACCCTGGCTAATAAAGCTGTATTACAAGGGCAAAAACTTGCCTTATAGGACTTTTGTTTGTTAATGTGTTTTTCTTGTGCTATGACATGGTTAGAGGGAGTGTAGGGAATATTTGTGGGTTTGTGTACATAGTGCAGATTAAATGCGCCTTATGCATTATGCGTTCTCTGTGGACTCAGATGCATTTGTAAGTGAGCATAGTATCTTCATTGCTACATGTTGCATGTGCCTAGATGGATATATGGATGTGCACATGCATGCTACATAAGTTAGATAGTCCCATTTTTGTTAGATATATTCAAAACTCACTTGAAGCATTTTTTTTAATACCCTTGGGTTGACAGTTGAGCAAGAAGGGAACCTGAAGAAATTAAGACTTGTTCTTCTTTGATAAGAGAGTATAGAAGGATACACAAGTCCTAGACAGTCAAGGTCAATCTAAACTAACAGTGCTGATGTGCTGAATGTCCTAAATAATCTTACTTTTTCCTTTTTTTTTTTTTTTTTTTAACAGAGCAATAAAAAAGAAGAACCCAGGAGTTTTACTGCCAATAGTTCCCTTAAGCTTTATACTTGCCTATCAATATGATATGGGCTATGGGACACTGTTGCAAAGGATGAAGGGTATGTGCATATAAGTCTGGTTCACACATAGAACCAAGCTTAGTATTTCACATAAAATCTTACCTTTTTAGAATGGCTGGGAGAAAACTTGCAATAAATTTTCTGGGTTTTTTCTGGACAAAAAATCTTACTCTTTCATTTCTTTTCTTCTCTGTTACAATCAGATACTTTCCCAGCCAAGAATACTTACTCTACTTTTACAGCCTTTCCCTCCAATTAAGAATGTTTGTTAATTTTGCCTCTCTTGTTTTAAAAAATATGAATTCTGAGGCTAGAAATACAGCTGAATTAAGCACTGCATATTTGGGAGAAACGACAGATCTAGTGACTTCCTTCCATATTCCAGTCTCTGATGGTTGCTGTTTTGGCAAGGGGTAGGGATAATACAGATAGGAATGATGCCCTTATATCTTAATGACAAAACACAGTCGTCAGCTGATGATCTTGCGACAGTGCCCTGCTAAGATGGAAAAAAGAAGGGTGAGTCCCAGAAAGAGGAGTCTTGCCTCATAGTTGTCAGTGGTGGATCTGATTACGTGATGGGTGTTGAGGATTATGGAGGTGCATTTATATTAGCTCTGATTCCTCCTGAAGGAGGCATGCTAAGAGAGTGTTCGCTGTAAGTGAATACAGCACTGGGCCACAGCTTGTCACCTTCACAGATGATCTTAGTTAACTAACTTGATTTTCCTGTCTGCTACTGACACAAACGTGCTGAAACAAAATAAGAATGTTTCAGCTCTTGGTCTTAGCCTCGAGGGCTAAGAGCTAGGTTTCCTAACTCTGTAGTTCATTGAAAATAATGATAGATTAATTAGACAAACTGAGATTTCCTGCTGCATACAGGTGCAAATATACTTAGGTGATGCTGCAGTGTATATCTGTAAACATTTTGTAAACCCCACTAAATATATTTATTGAGATTTTAATATGAAGAAGCAGCTAAGCACAGGGAGAAAAACTGTGTGGCTCTTGGGTATCAGAGTGTTGAAGAGGAGATCAGTACATATGATGCAGAAGGAACACGTGGAATTTAGGATTTGTTAGTAATTTTTTGGTTTTAAATGAGGTAATTTTTATTCCAGAATTTTGAAAGAGTGAACATATTGTATTGCAAATCCCATGGCAAGAGTATGTTTACTGAGGAACATGTGGTCCTGTAACAGTTGAAGAGGGGCAGTGTGGTATCCTATTGCTTTCCAAATAGGAAAAGTCATCTTCATAACTTCAGATCCACTACGGCAAGTGCAGCAGTATGCAAGGCTTGTGAAAAGGTTTTGGAGTAAAGAAGCTATGGACCCAAATGGACAATAAGATAAAATGAAATATGCCAAACTAACTCTGTCTTTTCCAAGAAAATAATTTCTCTTTTCCAAAATAAATGTGATAGATCTACTATAAACTCATGAAAGCATGTAGTGTAGTCTTGTGGTTTAGCCCCGGCTGGCAACAAAGCACCATGTGGCCCCTCTGTCACCCCTCTGCCTGATGGAGTGGGGAGGAGAATCAGGAGAAAAAGGCAAAACTCGTGGGTCGGGATAAGGACAGTTTAACAGAACAGCAAAGGAAGCGAACAGTAAGAACACTAATACTGATAAAATGCATATACAAGGCAAGAGAATACACAGTGCAATTTTCTCACAGCCCTGTGCCCAGCACGTTCTTGAGCAACCATTCTCCTCCCCCAGCTAGCCCCTCCACTTAATTCCCGAGCATGACATCACATTGTATCGAATACCCCATTTCTTTGGCGAGTTTGGGCCAGCCATCTGGGCTGTGTCCCCTCCCAGCTTTTTGTGAAAGTTAACCCTATCCCAGCCGAATCCAGGACATGTGGTATCATGTGAAGATTAAGTTAGCATTAAGGACATGGAAATTAGGAGACAGGTGAGCACTGGAGTAAAGAGAAGATGTCAAAGATTTGTGCTTAAAGAGGAAGGCTAAGCATTAGCAGGGTTATTAGCAAAATATTCCTCAAGATTTGGTCTGGACCTGCTTTTGTTTTGTGTTTGAAGTTATGAGTAGTTTATACTAACCAAATCTGTGGATGACAAACTTGATTGGTGTCACCAATAGAGAAGAAATAAACTGTAGTACAAGAAGAAATAATGACCAGAAGAACTGAGATAATAAAATAGGATTCAATTTGATAAGAAGGTCAGCAAGAAGCTAGACACCACCATCAGAGCTCACCAGCAGGAAATATTAGAAAAAGGGGAAAATCCTTAATGTATTAGGTGACCACAGAATGAGTATAATCCAGTAGTGTGATGAAATTATGAGTCAAGCAAACTCTAGAAACTTCGTGAGGTTTCCTAGTATCACAGCTTGGTTGAGGTTGGAAGAGACCTCTGTAGGTTGTCTGGTCCAGCCCCTCTGTGCTCAGGCAGGATCACCTAGAGCGAATTCCCCAGGAAAATGTCCAGATGGCTTTTGAATATCTCCAGGGATGGATATTCCATAACCTTAGAAGAGATAGAGAGTACAGATAGGAAGGTATTGATACAGCGAAAGAGTAATACCTTCCTTGGAAATTTACACATAATTTGGATCACTTCTGTATAAGCAATCTAGAATTACTGAAGAGTTAAAATTATCAGGGAATGGTAAGCTGCCTTGCAAGAGAAAACAAAGTGATTGCTTTGTTTAGCCTTGTAAAAAGACATGAGAGATTTGGGTCTACAGATCCTACTTAGAGGATAGGATAAAGGAAAGTAGGAGAAGGAAATTAAACTAATTACTAATATCAGCACTAGAATAAAAGGAAGTGGACTAGCCTGAATTAATCTGAGCTGGAAATCAGAAGAAGGTTTGTAATTATGTGGAAATCAGGTTCAGGAGTTCATTTTTATTTTAAGATTAAAATAAAGTAGTTGCAGGGAAGGTTTTGTGACACAGCTGACCTGCGGCTACAGTGCTTGCTCTTATTGCTCAGCTGATCCCCGTGTCCGCTCCTGTACTACTTTCTCAACCACTTCTCTGCTTGCCTGTGTGTTCTGTTGGTGCATACCATGTTTCATCTCTGTGGTCTAATAATGAACATATACACCTTTCCCTTTATTGTTCCCTCTAGCTGGTCTCTTTCCTCCAGGGTATGCCTGTCTTCAGCCTCATGGCCAATTCCCTCTTGTAAGCTAATTTGCAGTTATTTCCGTGCTGCACAATCTTCTTTGTATCTTAACCACCTTGATCAAATAGCCCTGTATCTGCTGTCCTTCATTCTTTGGAATCAGTTTCTACCCCTGGAAGGTTTCTCTGTTTCTCTTTCAACAGGCATTTTGTCTCTGATCTTGCTTACAAGTAATTTTTATTTCTGTCTCTAGCCTACTTGTCCAAACAGTTTTCTCTTGCTTATTGTCCCACATTGAAATTGGAGGGGTTTTTTCCTGCCTTATAACTTGGGCTAATTAAAGCAAAAACTGAGGACCTAGGGGGCAATATGTGTTTTGAGTTCTGCTTGTGCTGTTGAAAAGCCATAAGTGTGGCGGGGCCGTGTATCAGAACTGCATTTTTTGGGGCTGGCAGCGTTACAGAACAGCCCTCAGGTGCGCAGTCTTTTCTGCATGGCTGTGGACACGAAGAATCAGTCAGGGACCTGCTGTCTGTGTTCCTGGCCTTGGTGTCCTGCTTTTCCTCTCAGTCCAGGTACGTTTTGCTGGTGCTTTTCAGATGAATTGTTAGAGGAGGGGAGGGATTATACAGCCAGCCTCCAGCTGCACAGAACTTCTCCACTGAGCAATGAAACTGTGGCTACCTTTTCCAAGATTTAGATAGTTCACTGCTTGTATCCTGAGCTGTGTGAGACAGATTATGACTGGGCAGTCTGTTCTACTGCATGTGAGCAACAGGCAGAGATTTGACTGTCTGTCATCTCTCTGTCCCCTGAGATCTTGGGTCTTGCTATTCCATAATCACATGCTATATGTGACTGACTGACGTTGTGTTATTACCAGTTACTGGGAGTGGTGACCAGTGCTGTCCTGTTGAATATTACTGATGTATGGAGATCCCAAGCGCTGTAATACTACTACAATTGCAGTTTGCAGATTTCAGCACTCAGACCTGCTTTAAATAATGACCACAGTCTTGACTGCATGACAATATTCACTCAGGTTTGTTGCACATAAATACAACTTCGAATCACTGCCATAACAGTCATGAAGCTAGGAGTTAAGGCATAGGCAAACAGGATTGTTGGCATTGTACCAAATGGCATCAGCCAAAACAAACACATTCTTTGCCTAATCTTCACCCTTTCTTATAACACAATTAGACCACCACAATTTATGTATGATGTTCAGTCTGTATCTTTGTTTTTTGGATTCTCTGTCCTAGGTGTTTTCATTCCACCCTTACACAGAGCGTTCTGCACCCTACAACTTTCCCCTGCTATGCTCTTAAGGCTGCATGTTTGAGTAACTGTCTTAGCAAATCTTTTTGTGAGCACTGTGCTTTGACCAATGCTTCTTCAAGCCATGTGCTACCCTCTTTCTGCCTGTAACTGGAATCTTTTAGCCTAGGCCTGAGACAAGAAGAAAAATTGTGCCCAAATGTGGCACATCTAGGATACTGTGTATCACATAGCTGTGACCTGGTATTTTGTTGTTCTTGCCCAAACAAAAATAGCTTAATCAGTTTCTTAAAATTTTTTTAATCTTTTTTTTTTTCCTACTTCCTTTGCTTTCCCACAGCATGTATGAGGAAATTTATTTAATATCTTTATGTTTTTTAAGGTGAAGCAGAGAACATACTGGACACACAGAGCACTTTGCTAGAATTGCCGAAAGGACCGCTCACTTTTGAAGACCTGGAGAAGATCAGAAGATCTCAGAGCAAGTTCTTCGTAGAAAAATAGGAGGATGGTATTAAAGCTTAGTATCTGAAATGGGCTTGTAATACTGGTTTTTGACATAAATGAATCACTAAAATTTTGATAAAATTATGAGCAGCTATAAAACAAAAAATAATTGATTTTTTAAAAATCAGTACTTTCTAAAGCAATGATCTTCATATTGTATGTATCTCTTGAAAATATCCATTGTAGCTGTGGTATATTTTTCTTGTTTAGAATGAAATATTGAATTTCCACTGTCTATTCAGAGTCTGAAAATAACTTTCACCTTAGTAAAAATATCTGGTACTGACCAAACTCACTATAATCAACAAAAATAAGTTAATTGGTAGTTATGAATTTGTATAAATATGGTCATAATTTGAAAATATATTTAAGGATGCACAGCTCAATTTGAAGTCAGGAATAGACAGTCAACTTTGAAAAATAAGACACTTTTTATTTGCTGTTCTTTAGGCAGTAAACTCACCATCTCTGCTTCAAATTCTGGAATAAACAGCTTTTATCAGAATTAGGTTCAGAAGTAGACATGTCACTTGCTAACTGTGTGTTTTACTTTTAGGAAAAACTGTATTAAAATATGAGCAGAGATAATTTCTCAGAAAGAGAAAACAAATTATGTAGTTATTTCCTGAATCTTTTTCATGCTGCTTTGACATTCTGAAACTCAGGATAATTTGTTTACATGAAATCAGAGTTTCACTACTAAGATGAATATTAACTTGGGCTAACAGCAAGCAAAAGTATTAATGTATGTTTTTGTAATGGGTAGATCCAAGGGGCCTTACAAGTACTGAAAAACTGAGAGATTTTTTGCATGCCTTTACTCTAGCATGGTATATAGTGTGAATATAATTTTTAGTATACTTTGTGTTCTGATGTTACACTTCGCAAAAAACCCCGCATGTTTCTGTATTGGAAACCTTTAAAAACAGATTATTTTGTGTTTTGGATGGAAATTCTTCCAGCACTAGTCTAATTGTGGAATGGAAAACAAATGCTTAAAAAGCATCCAATAATGAATTAAGCCTAAGTCTGTACTGACAGTTTGTTGAGTTAAAAATTCAATTCCAGATGGAGATAATGCACCGAATCAGTTTTTGAAGACTACTTAACTAAAATTAGAATACTGTTACGTTGAGACCGGTGAATATATCATAAAACAAAAGCTTCTCAGCGTAGAAGAAATTAATAGCACACTTTCCATTGCTGTGTAAGACTGATTTCTGAAAGTGCATTCACTTCTGCATTCAATCACCTATGTAATTGGTTCTGTCGTCTGCATGTTAATGATGCGTACAATCTGTAACAGATTTCAAATGTGATGCGTTTTGGTGTGCAGAGTGATAAAATGGGTTATAATAGCTTGGTCTACACTTCGGCTGTTTCAGATTTAAGGCAGTGATTTTAATTGTCTTGGAAGGCATGCCTCAACTCAGCCTATGGTGCTACCCATGTCCTGTGAACTCACAAGATGAAGCCCAAGACCATCTCACATTTTATGCCTGTTCTATGACATAGTCCCTCACCACTTGCTGCTATATTATGTACTACTCTTAGGACGTATGTGTACCTGCTTATTGTTTTGCTTTGAATAACAGATCATCTGCTACCTTTCCCTCCAAGTTCTGAAGTCCATCTTGCTTTAATTTTGAAGAAGTTGTAATAGCCTTTTATGTTTTGATCTCTGTCACCTGTTGACACTCTTTATTCCAAGAAGGAAAAAAGCAATTAAACTAGCTTGTTTTAGTATACATAGGTCTCCTCCTGTGCCTTTTAACCCACCTTTTAATCCTATGAAAGACATTTTTACAAGAGAGCAATTTTAATTGTCTATACAGCAGTTTTACCTACAAATCCTAGAGAATCAGGGAATACTTAATCTTATCCACTGTGAATTTGGAATTAATATCTGTGTGTTTGCAATAGATTGCTCACTATGCTGATGGATCAAAAGGCAGTGCTAAAGAAAGGAATCAGGGCAAGCAAAATAATGATCCAGATAGCTAGGATGGAGTCATAAATAGCACTACTACTATCTCCTAAAACTGTTAAGTCTGAATTTTTTTTCTCACAAAGGTTAAACTTAGATCAATAGTGTTAATCCATTGCAAGACTCCACACTAGGAAGTGACAGAAATGGGACAAGTTTAATTCAGTGTTACACAGTGAGTATCAGTGAAAGTTGCCAAATTTATAAAGGAAAAGCAACAGCCTCTAAGCAGGACAGTGTAATGCCAAACCGAGAAATGGATTTAAACGGACTACATAGAATGTGCCAAAGGTCGTCAAGAAGTTAAGGGTTAGTCACCTTTACTGCCTTTATTTTGTACTGTTAGCTTTGCTTTTTTCTTGATAAATATATGCCTGTGTTCTGAAGCTGCTCCTTCTTTGTTACAGACTATTTATTCTGCTGCCAGTGTATTAGTGAAAATGCTTGCATGTGCCAAGCCCAGTCATACCTGTCACATAGATATCCAGCTACAGAGTGGTTGAACTGTATGATTTCCTTCAGAGAATAATGAAAGAAATCAGGAAAGCTTACCTTTGGCAGTGTCTACTTCAGGGAAATAGATGTTTACAGCACAAGTTGCCCATAATCGCCATACCAGTTGTACTCACAGAAATAAATAAATAAAACACCTAAACCATCCTGCTCCTTTCTGTCACTGGCGCTCAGCTGGCTTCAGCTGTGACACTTACGTTAATATATCACAGCAACTGTCTTTGTTTTCATGAATCACTGGGGAAGAGAAGCAGCATAACTGCAGGGGGAGCTTGTTCTGACCTGAAGGCACTGCTCTTACCGCCTTAATCCTGTTGGTTTTTCCGGTTGTAATATCCGATAGCCGTGTATCCTGGATCAGTGTCACTCAGAGCAGGATTCTTCTGGGAAAGTGAGAAGTCACTCATGATTTAGAATGTCAAAATTAAACTCCCTGTGTTCTTGTTACGGATATGTCTCATTTAGGATCCAAGAAGGTGCACACTATTTGCGACCCACAGCTGCCTGCCCCACACTTCTCCTTGTTAAACCGATTTTGATAGGATAGATGCATATTATTGAGAAACAAGCAATGTTACTTTGGGGGGTCCAGTCTGGGTCCCTTCTTTTATTCCATGGATGAATTAAAGTTTTAGAGTTATTTTGTGACTACGACTGCATATCACTGCTTTTGAAAGTAGCAGGGGAAAGCACTCACATGGACATACACAAATGAGATAGCTTCTGTATTACTATTTAATTGCTTAATCAGTCTTGGAATTAATTATACAAAAATGATTTGATTTCTTAGTTTTTTAACTATTAGCTTTTATAACGTGAACTGCTTTCCAAAACCTGTGATCATGTGGTGATGGAGCCCTATGTAATATAGCTGGATAACACTGGTACTTAGTCACCAGTCACACGCATGCAGTGGTATTTCATATTTTATGCAGAATCCTGTCTCGTACTAAGCAAACTTAAGAAATATTTTCAATTCATGTTTGGGCAGCTTTCAAAAAGTAAGTGGATCTTGCAGCAATGAACTGCATGAATTTGAAATTAAGTCTCTGAAAAAAGACTAATGCAGTCTGTTCATTTCTGTCCCACTTCTGATTTTCTGTGTACATTGTCTGACAACATGTGAAAAAGCCTCTCATTCAGGGTATTCGAGGCTATTAAGTTAATTTATTTAGCTACCTGTTTTCATGAAACATCCGCTACCCTCTATAAACTTTGATTGCTGTTGGCCAACAGATTAAAATTTAGTGCAAGGGAGAGAAATGGTACAATTGTTTTTATTTTACGAAACTAAAAAATAGAGAATAATTGCATTGAGACGGTACACTGGATGTACCTAACTTGCAAGATCCTACAGATCACGAATGGAATTTCATTTCCTTGCTCTGCCGTTTCTGTTCTGTGTAATACAAGCAGTAAAAAGGTGGATAGTTACTTCAGATTGGTTGTATGTAAATTACTTATTCTGCATGTATTGTTTTGAATAAAAGTGCTTTTTCTAGCTATGATGAACATATAAACAAACCTCTCCTCTGACTTGATTTAAATTCATGGCAAATTACTGACAGATTGCCATTTAGGCTTTTCTGTATAAAATCCTGTATGATTTAAAGTTATATGACTAACATAGTACGCTCTTAGTAGTTCTTTATAACCTGCTATTCATATCACAGTAGACATCAAAAGCCTTAGATGCAAAGGCAATGGTACTAAAATATGGCTGGAAGAAAAGTACTGAGCAATACACCCTGCTAGTGAGACTGCCTTAAGCGTAGTAACATTAAGCAATGTCAAACTACTGCCAGCTCATTCAGATATGATCCTTAATAAAACTCATTAACTCGCTGTCTGTTGTTGCGGTCTTTAATCCTAGCCAGAGAGCATTCGTAGCCCATGCTTTTCAACAAGAGTGATGAGGAGTGCTGCAGTGTGGGCTCCCCTGAGGAGTTACGAATGTCTTGAAAAGATGCTTCCTCCAAGGCCTCTGACAACCTGTGCTCTGTTACCTGCTAAGAAGCATGACGGAAAGCACAGAAAGTATTGTCTTTCATATTCAGTAGCCCTGATGAAGAAGCAGGTGAGGTCAGAAAAACTGTTTTGAACCGTCTGTTTTCTGTCTCTGGAGCACTTGCATTTAGCAGCTGTAGTCAGAGGTCACACGCTTCAGACAGTTGCAACAATGAGGTTCTTACAAAAAAGCCTAAAGGTGGCCATCACAACACCTGCCTTTCCTTAGGGAGAATGTGCCACAGTAACTGATGGTCCAGTTACGTTTGAAACTAAAGCATGTGGAGAGTCAGGAGTTTTCCAGCTAGCTTGACAAAGCAGACTGCTGTTTGGGGACCTCTCTCAAAATTGGTCAAAAACTCTAAGAAAGGCATACCTGACATTTTGCTGCTTTCAAAGACTGGATCTAGTATTGGGCATGGGTGTCAAACTAGGGTATAAACCAAATTATGGTAGTTTACAAGCTAAATAACTCACCAGGACAGTCCCT